GTTGTGGCCTCTCCCGTTGCGGAGAACAGGCTCCGGACGCGCAGGCTCAGCGGCCATGGCTCACGGGCCCAACCTCTCCGCGGCACATGGGATCTTCCCAGACCGGGGCACGAACCCGTGTCCCCTGCATCGGCAGGCGGACTCTCAACCACTGCGCCACCAGGGAAGCCCTGCAGACAATTTTAATAAATTAGAGAGTCAGCAATGTTACAGGGATATAAAATAAGCTACCCCAAATTAATAACACTCTTAATGCTAACAATAACCCACCCCAAAATATAGAAAATAAGTTTCCATTCACACCAGCAATAAAAATCATAAAGTATTTAGGAAATAAGAACAGAGGCCAGGATTTCCATGGTGGCACAGTGGTTAAGAATCTGCCTGCCAACGCAGGGGACACAGGTTTGAGCCCTGGCCTGGGAAGATCCCACATGCCACATAGCAACTAAGCCCGTGTGCCACAACTACTGAGCCCACACGCCACAACTACTGAAGTCTGCGCACCTAGAGTCCATGCTCCACAACAAGAGAAGCCACCGCAATAAGAGTCACGCGCACTGCAACAAAGAGCAGCCCCCACGCACCACAACTACAGAAAGCCTGCGCACAACAACAAAGACATAATGCAGCCAAAAGTAAATAAATAAATAAATAAATAAATTTTAAAAGTTCCCAGTCTCAACAATCCTGGGCATATTTAAAAAACAAAACCAAAAAAACATTGATCTAGTACTTACATGTGCCAGGCACTGTGTTATGCGCCTTACTGTGTACTAACTTATTTAATCCTAAATTAATGTTATGAGGGAAGCATTGTTATCACCTCCATCTGACAACTGAGGAAACTGAGGCACACAGAGGTTATGGAACTTGCTCAAAGCAAGGCCAGGACCAGGGTGAAGTGAGTCATGCAAGATAGAATCCTGCTTTTATTTAAAAATTTGATATTTTGTTCACCATGGATTTTGATTTGATTTGATTTTTTTTAATTTAAATTTAAAAAATAATGCATCAAAATATTATTGATCTTGCTTAGATCGTTTTTGACCCACCTCCTAGAGAAATGGAAATAAAAACAAAAATAAACAAATGGGACCTAATGAAGCTTAAAAGCTTTTGCACAGCAAAGGAAACCATAAAAAAGACAAAAAGACAACCCTCAGAATGGGAGAAAGTATTTGCAAATGAAACAACTGACAAAGAATTAATCTCCAAAATATACAGGCAGCTCATGCAGCTCAATATCAAAAAAACAAACAACCCAATCCAAAAATGGACAGAAGATCTAAATAGACATTTTTCCAAAGAAGATATACAGATTGCCAACAAACACATGAAAGAATGCTCAACATCATTAATCATTAGAGAAATGCAATTCAAAAGTACAATGAGATATCATCTCACACCAGTCAGAATGGCCATCATCAAAAAATCTACAAACAATAAATGCTGGAGAGGGTGTGGAGAAAAGGAAACCCTCTTGCACTGTTGGTGGGAATGTAAATTGATACAGCCACTATGGAGAACAGTATGGAGTTTCCTTAAAAAAACTAAACGTATGGGGCTTCCCTGGTGGCGCAGTGGTTGAGAGTCTGCCTGCCGGTGCAGGGGAACACGGGTTCTAGCCCTGGTCTCTGAGGATCCCACATGCCGTGGAGCAACTGGGCCCGTGAGCCACAACTGCTGAGCCTGCGCGTCTGGAGCCTGTGCTCCGCAGCAAGAGAGGCCGCGATAGTGAGAGGCCCGTGCACCGCGATGAGGAGGGGCCCCCACTTTCCGCAACTGGAGAAAGCCCTCGCACAGTAACGAAGACCCAACACAGTCAAAAATAAATGAATAAATAAATTTTAAAAAACAACAACAACAAAACTAAAAGTAGAACTACCATACGATCCAGCAATCCCACTACTGGGCATAGACCCTGAGAAAACCATAATTGAAAAAGCATCATGCACCACAATGTTCACTGCAGCTCTTTTTACAATAGCCAGGACATGGAAGCAACCTAAGTGTCCATCGACAGATGAATGAATAAAGAAGATGTGGCACATATATACAATGGAATATTACTCAGCCATAAAAAGAAACAAAATTGAGTTATTTGTAGTGAGAGGGATTGACCTAGAGACTGTCATACAGAATGAAGTAAGTCAGAAAGAGAAAAACAAATACCGTATGCTAACACATATATATGGAATTTAAGAAAAAAAAATGTTATGAAGAACCTAGGGGTAAAACAAGAATAAAGACAGAGACCTACTGGAGAACAGACTTGAGGATATGGGGAGGGGGAAGGGTGAGGTGTGTTAGGGCGAGAGAGAGACATGGACATATATATACTAACAAACGTAAGGTAGATAGCCAGTGGGAAGCAGCCGCATGGCACAGGGAAACCGGCTCGGTTCTTTGTGGCTGTCTGGAGGGGTGGGAGGGAGGGAGACAAAGAGGGAAGAGATATGGGAACATATATATATGTATAACTGACTCACTCTGTTATAAAGCAGAAACTAACACACCATTGTAAAGCAATTATACCCCAATAAAGATGTTAAAAAAAAACAAAAAACAAAAAAAACAAAAACAAAAACAATGGTTCTGAAGAACCTAGGGGCAGGACAGGAATAAAGATGCAGATGTAGAGAATGGACTTGAGGACACGGGGAGGGGGAAGGGTAAACTGGGACGAAGTGAGAGAGTAGCATTTACATATATACACTACCAAATGTAAAATAGATAGCTAGTGGGAAGCAGCCACATAGCACAGGGAGATCAGCTCGGTGCTTTGTGTCCACCTAGAGGGGTGGGATAGGGAGGGTGGGAGGGAGATGCAAGAGGGAGGAGATATGGGGATATATGTTTATGTATAGCTGATTCACTTTGTTATACAGCAGAAACTAACACATCACTGTAAAGCAATTATACTTCAATAAAGATGTTAAAAAATTTTTGAGCTCATAATTTTCACTGGATATTAAAGTTTATGCCATACAATATATATATATATATATATATATATATATATATTATTGATCTTGCTTACTGAGTTTTTTGGTGTCCCCTTAAATTTTTCACTCAAGGGGAGTGCCTCAATCCCCTCAGTCTAGTCCTGGCCCTCCAAGATCCCAAAGCTAGTGAGGAGAAGACTGGAATCCTAGTGCAGGAAGTGTGGGTCCAGAGTCAGTGAACTATCTTGTTGCAACACTTTCCTAGACAGTAAAACTATCAGGCCCCTGGAATACAATGTTGGAGACTATTTTTGTAATCTCAGGGTGAGGAAATACTGCAAACAAGACTCAAAGAAGGAGACTTCCCTGCTGGCTCAGTGGTTAAGAATCCACCTGCCAATGCAGGGGACACGGGTTCGCGTCCTGACCCTGGAAGATCCCACATGCCGCGGAGCGACTAAGCTGGTGCACCACAACTACTGAAGCCTGCGTGCCTGCGCACTGCAACGATGAGTAGCTCCTGCTCGCCGCAGCTAGAGAAATCCTGCACACAGCAACGAAGACCCGACGCAGCCAGAAACTTTTTTTAAAAAGCCTCAAAGAGCACAAACCTGGTGGACTATATAAAAATGAGGATTGTTCTTGAACTAAGGGCACCTTAGACAAATAAGGAGAGAAAGACAAACAGGGAGGAGATATATGCAACAACAAAACCCAGCAGCAGGGAAAAGGTTAGAAACCCAATAGAAAAAAAATGGACAAAGGATAGGAACACACAATTCGCAGAAGAGGAACCACCGTGAACTGACAAGTGTATGAACAGCTGTTCAAATTCTCCCATCGTCAGAAACCCCAGATGCAAACGAGGCAGAACTTTAGATTCATCAGCCTTTACAAAGCTGAAATACCGAGTGCCTAGGGAAAACTGGAACCTGCGTGGTGGGTGTACAAATTTGTACAGCCACTCAAGAGACCATCCACGGTACTTTGTGAAGTCAAGTGTGCATGTGCCCTATGGCCTGGGAGTCCTACTTCAAGAGGGATTTTCCCACACTTCATAAGGGGACGGTGTGAAGATGTTCATAACAGCGACTTATGTGATAGGGGCATTGAGGCCAAGCTAAGTGTGTATCATTGAGGGGTGTGGTGGATAATAAAAGGGCTGGACACTTAACACGGCATGCCACATGTAGCCTGTAGAAGCAAAAATGAGATACAGGTTGGAACAGACAAAGGACACTAGAAGGAAAACCAGCAAAATCCAAATAGAATCTGGTTTAGTTAATAATAATATGCCAATGTTAATTTCTTAGTTTTAACAAACGTATCATGATTATAAAAAATGTGCATAGTAGAGGAAACTGGGCAAAGGATATATGAGAATTCTCTGTACTATCTTTGAATGTTTTCTGTAAATCTAAAATTATGCCAAAATAGTTTATTATTTTTAAAATAAATTTATTTATATTTTATTTTTGGCTGCATTAGGTCGTTACTGCGTGCAGACCTTCTCTAGTTGCGGCGAGCGGGGCTACTCTTCATTGCAGTGTGCAGGTTTCTCATTGCGGCGGCTTCTCTTGTTGTGAAGCATGGGCTCTAGGCCCACAGGCTTAGGTAGTTGTGGCATGCAGCCTCAGTAGTTGTGGCTCATGGGTTTAGTTGCTCCGCGGCATGTGGGATCTTCCCAGGCCAGGGATCGAACCTGTGTTCCCTGCATTGGCAGGTGGATTCTTAACCACTGCATCACCAGGGAAGTCCAAAATAAAGTTTATTAGATGTAAAACAAACAAAAAAACGAGATGCGGGTGGCAGTGTTGAGTATAAAAATGTAAATAGAATGAGTTTTATACATGATTCCATGTTTGTAAATTGCAAACACATCCACATAGGAGCCAATGCCATGTGGAGTAGGGGGCCAGACAGAATTCAAGGCAGCCGACTGAGCACACTCATGTGGGATCTGATGAAAGGGAGGAGGAAAACGGTGGAGAGAAGGAGGGAAAATAAATTAACGTAACTCAAGAGGGGCCTTGTTCATAGTGATGATGTGTCATAAACTGAGAAGCAGGATTGACTCAGCTCTGTACACGAGGTCATAAAATGAAGTGGGTCGGGTGAGTGCAGGAGGATGAGCACCCCTAGAGCTAGGTGGAACTGAGTTCAAATCCCAGTTCGCACTTGAAAGCATTTGGGATTTGGGCGAAGTGCTCGTTCATGTGGTCCACAAATATTTATTGAGGATCTACTTAGTGCCAAACACTCTTCTGGGCACAGTGGACACAGTGGTGAATAAGACAGTGTAAAATAAGGTAATTTCGGGTAAGCACTGTGTGATGTGAAACTGACTTTAGATTGCATAGTCAGGGACGGCTTCTCTGAGAGGTGACACTGGAGCAGGGACACCGATGATGAAAAGATCCCCCTGTGAAAGAGCAAGGTTAAGTGCTTTCCAGGCATAGAAAAAAGCACGCACGTGCAAAGACCCTGAGATGGGAACGACCTTGGCCTGTGTGGCTGAGTGAGATGAAAGAGGGGCAGAGAGGGACTTGATGCGATTGGGAGAGGTAGGCAGGGACCAGAGCTTTGTGGGCCTTAGTCAAGAGTTCACATAGTATTCTAACCACAGTGGAAAACCAAGGGATGGTTTTATGCAGAGGAGTGACTTGGCAGCATACTTCAATAAAAAAAAAAAAAGTTTTATTTAAGACTAACACACAGAAGAAAAGGATCAGATGTTTTAAAAGACCACTTTGCCGTCTGCGTGGAGACAGAATTGGAGGAGACTGCAAGCCACATAAGCTCTCTGAGCCTTTTTCCACATTTGCACGGTGGCGACAATCCCCCTCCCGTGCAGGGCCGTGGTGAGTCCCCAGGAGTCTCCTCAGCACTCGAGGAGCGGGCTGGGATGCAGACGGCTCCAACTCGGGCCTGAAAGGTTGGCGAGTAGCAGCCCCTCCAAGGCCCTTGTACAGACCCAGGGATTGCTTCCGAGAGAGGCACCCGCTGTCGCTCGCCGAGGCGGGCGCTGGGCGGCGCGGCGAGCCCAGCTCGGTCCGGACGAGAGAAGGCGCGGTCACTAGTCTGCTCGGCGCTCGGCAGCTCTGGCCTGCTGAAGGCGGGCGGGGGCGGGGCCGTTATGTAAGGGCGGGGCCTCGACCAGGGCGCCGGACCGTCGAGCAACCTAGACGACGGCACGGGGCGGGGTCTGCGCGCGGGGGTGGGACCGGCGGGG